GAATGACAAATGCAATGCTAATGCCATCAAATGGCATGGCCTAAATCCTCTCCGGATATACATAGCGTCTCAAAATATCCATAAAAATTGCATCAAATGGGCTTTATTGCTATGGAATCATGTTTCGTGTCACTATCCCGATCGTGGCCGGATGTGATGTAGTCGCAGTTGGCGCTGTTACCACGCGCCAGCGGTCCGTGGGATCGAACCTGAGTCCGTCGCCCGGGTCCCGTCTAAACCGATCAAGCCTTAGTCCCTCTGGGGAGGGCTTATTGGCACCAGACTGTCGGAAGGCACGCGTCCAACCCTATCGCTTGGCCGCAGCATTTTTCTATTCAGGAAGACTATAGGGCACAAATAGACGGTGTGCAAGACCTGGTCTTAATACTGTACTTTCGTCTTTACCCTTCTGACCCAGGGTCAAGCGTGCGTTGAGGAATCCTCGACATGTCACAGGGGGGGGGGTCGTATTGGCCCGCTGGGAGGAAGAGATCGGGCCGGATTGACGCAGTAGGATCATCACCATCGGAGGACAAACATCAAGGGTCGATGCCAGGCCAGAGGATTTCCAATAACAATGTCATTCTGCCCACATTCGTGATTCAGAGATGTCCGCTTAGCAATTCTTAGTTACTTGTCCTCTGACGGTGATGATCCTGGTTTTGTCACCATACAAGTTAAACAATTCGAAATAATTCGCACTTTTTCCAAGGATATTTTATCTTTCAAGTGAGTCCTCGAATCTAAAGGGATGTGAAGCACATGGCGCATCCCAGAGTGGGCTTAATTGGTTGCGCGCACTTCAACTACGGCTCTCTGAAGAAAGAACCTCAATTCAGGAAAAACTAAGAGGATTCTGAAAGGATCCGTGTGAAATTACAGTTAGGAGTACACCATTCAAAAAGAAACACAGTCTTCAGCGTCAAATTCTTAAGCACGTAACCCTTAAAGTTGAGATACACTAAACTATTTTACACTTCTTGGAAGAGAGAAGCAGGAGCATTTCGAATCTGCCCCTACTTTAGTATGTAATCGCCTCTGAAAGGAGCTATAGCCGTTGAAATAGGGCCAATGCAGCAAAAAGTACCTTTCGGCGGTACTCGGGCAAAATCCTCAACGTGGCCATTTTTTAAATAGTGAACGTATTTAGCAGTTCTAGTAACCTTTAGATAGAGCAAATCTTCTAGTTTATGATGACGTATTAACTTTCCAGATTGGATGAGTTTGAACGGAGTTATGGCTTTGGAAAGCGTAAAAACTCGCACTCATCACAAATTTTCCTCGTTAATTTTGCAAAAATCCTCAACGTGGCCATTTTTTAGGTACTGGACGTATGAAGCTGCTTTAGCAAGCGTTTGATAGAGAAAATCTTCTAGTTTTGTCTGCCATATTAGCTTTTCAAATTTGACGAAAATGAAGCAAGTTATGGCTTCGGAAAGTGTAAAAACTCGTGCTCATCATGAATTTTCCTCGTTAATTGATCTAAATTTGTTATTTCTTATAATTTTTGTAATTTCAATACTTTAGAAGAACTCTTCACAAAACTCCCAAATCTGCTTTCAGATTGAAAATTCGTCATATTTGAAGAAAGTTATAATCATTTGAATATTTGTTCAAATTTCAATAGTAAATAAGCTGCTCCACGGTCAACGCCAAAGATCCAGTCAACACACAGCTGGCGAAGGCGGGTGGGGGGGGGGGTGCTAAGGCGGTTGTTACAAGGCTTTTATCAATTGAAAGGGGGACGTTTAAATTGAGAACCATGATCTGTGTAGTACTAGAATTTGGTAAGTGTTATGAAGGAAATAAATAGAGAAGAGATGTTGTCATAGTATGCCATTTTTAGTGACTAGTTTGTCGTTTTTGCTCCTTTTCTCGTTTGCTCGTTTGGTAGGCTCATCATTAATGATCATTCTTTGACTTTTTTCACTTTTTTAGTTCCTATAAGAATTTTTTGGTGGACGGTGGGGTTGCAGGGCTCTTTTGAACATTTTGGGTGAGAATTAAACAACCTTTTCATAGCTCTGTTTTTGAAAAGGGTCGTTTCATGGACTTCGGCCTCTGGGGGAGGGAGGGGGGGGGGTCGTATTTCCAAATTTTCCTCGACGGTTCGCTTGACCCTGCTTACTGACTCGAGTGAGGGATCGCGTTATGTCAAGCCCATGTCTCTGCAGTTCTCCTAATGCTGCCACCTTGGTACTTCCTGACTATGAATTCTGTTGTCATTTTTATTGCTTCAACTTTTTTGGCAGAACCCACCGTACTCAGTTTTTTAAACGAGGTTCAAACATGCCCTGACAAAAGAATAAATATGTGTATGTTAGAACTTCTCTCTAATTACCTAACTCAATTGATCTCTGACTTGGTTGTTTTCTAATGTAACATAACCCGCGGACCCTACGACTGCGCGTGGTCAAAGCGAAGGAGTGTGAGAAGACTGAAGAAGTTCCTTGCTCCTTGATATGGCTTCGAAGTATGTTCGTGTGTAAATAAACGACCAACTAAAAAATAACAAAAAATGGTGAATGGCTGGAATTCTTCCTAATAGATTCGTTTTAGGGCGCAAGTGGTAGTGGCAAGTGGCACGCTCACCACGCGAGCGGTCCGGGGATCAAATCCTGGGTCGTTCGGGCCAACCAAGCCTTCCATCCCTCCGGGGTCGGTTAATTGGTACCAGACTTGTCTGGGAGGATAAAAACACTGACTTGTACATCGGCTGGCCCCCGCAAGTCATTGTATAGGCCACATCGCATTCAAACGCCACTACGAATGTACAAATGGAAGTAGAATGCGTGCCGCATTCCCAAAAAGGGATTGATCAACGGCAAATATTTCTCCTTTAATCTCTCACGGCGATAGTTCTGAGTTATGAGCAGCTGGGTTTGTCGACTGCTGCGTTTGTCATCGTCTTTCATCATCTTTTCTGATACAACCATAGCTTCGCATTATATGTGGATTCAACGAAGAATGCAGAATGAAGCGAAAACGTTTTCGGGAGCAACCAGAAAATTGTGCTAGCTCAGGCGTTAATACAGCGCGGATTATTGCCCTTGTGTTATAGATTCAGCTTATAGGAGGACAAAAAGCACATTGGGATAGACTGAGGGGATTCACAAAAGACCTCTTTGAAGAGAATTCGGGTCACAGAACTTTTCGATCTTCATTCATCTAAGAGGCTTGTGTTCTCCTCTAGAATCCTGTTTTCAGCCGCCACTCGTGCCAGTGCGCTGATTCATAGGACAACATCGGCTATCAGCTGGTGAAATCAGTGTGTTTAACTTTGAATTCACCAAGTCATAGATTGACTAGTGATGACCGTGAAGTGCCCAGCACGCGGAATATGTCTGAGCGGCTCATCAAAACATCTGCGAAAACTGTTTAAAAAGACTTGATCGAACCAGTCGAACCACAGTTCAGATAACGTGCAATTATTGCATTGCAAATACCCCTCTGTAATGTGCTTTGTAGTATATATACCATACTTGATGAACAAATATGCCAAATCATGGTCGTAATTTTCTTTTCGCTTTTCCATTTTTTCAGCCGTAAAATTGATTTTTAACGCTATCATTGAAGCAATGAATCAACAACGTGTTCGTGTGTGTTCTTCTCTCCATGAAATGTGCGATTCGTAACTACGAGTTGTAATTTCACTACAAGATGACTGAACCCATTAACTTCATCACCGGTTCTCGAGAAATGCTTTGGATTATTGATTATTGTCACTGACATGGATTCACGTTGCACCCAAAGCCTATTGTCTGTTCGTTATCTCTCTTTCATAAGAGCGCTTACCAGCGTTCTCAGTATGTTCACAAAATCCAACAGAGTTTTCGATAGGGTTTTGTTATGGTTTCTGAGACCTTTTAATTAATCATGTTTTGATTTCTCATTCGCATTCATTTTTTCTTGACACCTTCTTGACAACTTGACAGCGTGTGCTCCAGCAAGTTGACCAAGACCTGTCCAAACTCTTCAAAAACCTTTCAACTTCACACGTTCTATGTCATATTTTGCCAGCTTGCTCTAGCAGGCACATGAAACGATACAATTCGATACAGTCGCCCTCACCCTAGAGGAATCTCGCATTTGCAGAGTATTAGTAACCTGGCTAAAAATGGAAACTCTATGCGTTAAGTGGCTAATTGCGAGGCGATATAGGGATTCGGCATGGGCTGTAGAATCAAGGGGAGAAGACGCATAGAGAGCTGAGGAAAGGCTCCCAGGTCGCCATGTCCATTCAAGAGATGTGTAGGAATAAATACGCCTTCAAACGCTGCTCATCAAATGCTACCCTTCAAAATTATGCTTAACGATTTCTAACACCAAACGAGTTGAAAATTCAGCCGTGAAAATTTTTGTATTAGATTTTCTAAGCAAAACTGTGGTCAGTACACCCAGTCAAAAATGTCGGGGATCGGTCCCTTATTGTGCTTACAGCTATCCATTCTTCATGACTCCATTCAGAGAATGGTGCAGGTTTAGAAAGTAGATATGAGATCAGCGCTCGAGTGCACATCTAGGCGTGTAAATATCTTCGTGAAATGGCCATGGCGACCTGGGAGCAGGGTCAACCCTATGTTGCTACAAGTAGCAACGGGGGGGGGTCGTATTTTGATGAGTTTGTAGAGGGGGGTCGTACTTGCTTCGGTTGTAAGAAGTTGCATGTGATGAGTGGGGAGCGGCGCGGGAGAAAATTTGCCGTTTCAGCGCGTGGGCTCTCCTCCACAGCTTCGGGCTACGAAATTCCTATAGTGGGCTTTTGGAACAGTTAACCATTATCGCAAACTTAAATCATTATGGGATTTCTTCAAGGGGATTCGGCAAGGGCTGCACACTAAGGGAGAAGTACTAAGGCTAGTCCCAATTCCAGGGCAAGGGTCTTGTCATAAGCCTGGCTGCTAGTTGTCATGAAATCAATTCTACATATAATTCGCGTCTGTGTTATTGCTTTATTTGCTCCACTTTTTGGTTTCTTATATATAATTACCTTTAGGGAGATGCGGGTATGTATCGTGGGAGGCGGAGGTTATTTGGGATGTCAACTTGCAAGCCGTTTACAGTCTGAAGGCGCTCATACTGTACTACTGGACGTCGTCTTTCCAGTACATCCTAATATCACCCTCGACGAGAAATTGACCACTAGAATACAGGTAGAATTCTGGTTTTAATCAATCAACTGGACGATAGCCCCCTCCTGTAATGCTATCCACACGATTTCCATACTCCAGTTTCTGCTTCTAATTGGTAATTTTTCAGGTCCTGCTATTTACTTCCTGGATTACTCACTGCAATCCTTTCTTACATATTATTCTTTCAATTTCTTCGTGATTCATTTTTTGTTATTCCCTCTCACGAATAGATTTTAACGCTTATCTGGATTTACTTACTATATTGGGAATCATTTCTTGAAATATTTTCACAGGGATCACTGCTGAACGAGGAGATCGTCTTTTTTCACAGGGATCACTGCTGAACGAGGAGATCGTCCGAAAGGCGCTTACCGCCTGTGAGTCATGCTTCCATCTAGCAGCCTATGGCATGTCTGGTCTGCAGGCCGTGAGTAGTATTTGGATGTTATCAATTCCAGGTTCAGCTTCCTTCTAGATTGGATAATCTGCCATATAATCAACTACCGTTTTGATCGCTTATAAGTCCCAAAAGTAAAACTCGAAGTCAACATCTTAAGAGTCCTCGGCACCTTTACTTTGAAAGACTTGAGAAATTTTTAGGAAATAAAATCTTATTTTAGGAAATATCTCTACAAATTCACTGCAAAAAAGTTCGTGAAAGCTGTTTTCGTCAAACCATAGTCTGCTCTATCATTTTGTAGCGATATACCTGAAAAAAATCGTCCTAGTATTGAAACATGTTCGATTTGCCTCACAAAGAAAGCCTTTCAGGGCAAGCTGCGCTTTTTGAAACGGTTCCTGCATATTGTAGGGACGCATGTATGGACCACAAAACCATGTTTCGTTTTCGCTGAACGGTTTTAGTAGTACCAAAAAAGTGGTGAATGATACTATGGTTCGATCCCCCGCGGCGACTAAATTTTGCAATCAAGGTTGGCGGCCACTTGTTGGCTTCAAAATGGTCCTGACGATGAATATGACATCTGATTTTGACATTTAGCGCGATTTGGCACCAAACCGTAGGCGCCAACCCAAATGCAAAATTTAGTCGCCACGGGGATCGAACCATTAACAGTACCTTATGCTTCTTTTTTGGTACTGCTAAACCGTTCAGCGAAAATGAAACATGGTTTTGTGTTCCTACATGCGTTCCGCAAATGCAAGAAACCGTTTTGGAAAAAGCGCGGCTTTTCCTGGAAGACCTCCCTTGTTGGTCTATAACCACGAGGTGCAAAATAGAATGCAAGCGATGGCCACAGACAATATGATGGCGACAAGCCGACAATGACAAGCATAAAAATTTGGTAAATGTTAGCAGTGCTAAAGCAGGAAAATAGAAATTGAAAAGAGTGAGAAATTGCCAAACTTTGATCTTAATAAATCTAACCAAAACCTAATTAACCTAATAAACAAAATTCCAGTTCAATCGCAAGGTGATCCATGAAATCAATGTTGATGGCACCTCATTGCTTTTGGACTACTGTAAACGCCTGAGCGTGTCTCGGTTTATTTTCGCCTCATCGGTTGGTGTAGTTTTCACGAGCAAGGAATTGCGCAACGCTGCAGAGGACCATCCGTATCCGGATGAGTCTGAGGTATTGTCCTTAATTGTTAACATAATACCCGTATTGTTTATAGATGAGTTTGGTGAAACTCCAGTTGGGGGGGGGGATGCATCATTCGATAAGAACTGACTCATTTTAGGTGCATTTTTGTAATAAGGACCGCTGCATACTCTGTATCACGCTCATCCTGCTCACATCATAGGCTTCATGGCATGTGAACACTGGGCTTCTACACCCTTGCGCCTAGGAGAAGACATCCATACCAGAGTTCAAGACCATTTGCTTGGAATACAGCAGGCCGAAATCTGAAAGCGCTGTAGGAGCACTTCACACTACACCGGTCCCTTTCAGAAGTAACTTCAAATGAATCGATTGCGTGTCATGAGAATTCTTAACCTTATTCATAGTATTGGAGAGCATGTCCCCCACTCGAACTGAAGTTTCACCCATGAGTTGTAACCATACTTGCTCGCGAATTCAATGGTAGTGGGCTAGGCTATGAGGCAGTTCCGCATTAGTAATCCACCGATGGAACAGCGTTAGGCCGTAACACTTCATGGAATATATGGCTCTATGAGGGTAACGCTCTCGGGGTACTTTTCATCGAGGGGGGATGGGAACCCACATGGTATAAGGAAATGGATAGTATCCTGGGAGACGGTCAAGAGTTCCCCTTGGTCGCCGCGCTAAAGCTAGGTCACCGCGTGCGCGATATCACAGGCGTTTTTGCAGCTTGCAACATGGCAATTGGCCAAGCTTAGAACCCGATGCAGTGACCTAAATTGCTTACGCGGCGACCTCAGGGGGACTGCTGTCTCGCATCCAGTATTCCTGACTTTACAAAATTTTAAAATTTTTGCCAGCATCATGGTTCACCATCAATCCAACGCAATAGCATTACTGAATGCTTATGTGCAGAGTGTGAAACTGCCCTCTAACGTACCCTTCATTTGCTTGAAAAATTTATTGTGGTGTTGGGCTTATTTTGCGCTTTCAGTACGTGTCAGATTACTGTGTGTCAAAAGCCCGAGCTGAGAGAGCAGTCTTAGCTGCGGATTGTGCAGAGCTTCACACGTGCGCACTTCGGCTGAGAGGTGTCTATGGACCTGGCGAACCTCGAACAACGGATCGAGCTGCGGTGAGCATTTCAAACCCTTATCATCTAGCAGATACACCCACCCTATACGAAGTTATTACGTCAAGAAATTCAGAGGTGGTTTTAGGCGTAGTGAAGTAGGAAGATGGAAAGGCAGGCTAAGATTTAATGCGATCTCATTGCCGTTTGGATCGCTTCAAAGGCGCTCCCATAATAAAATTAAATAGGAAATCATACAGAAGAAGCCATGTATACGTTTTGTGCTTCTTGGTCCACTTCGTCCCCTCGCGTGGGTCAGGAATTACCAGAATTTGTGATGGATAAACAGTCAAACAGACGTACCGAGTGACCAACAGACAGGCAGACGGACGTAGCGCTTTAACAGTGACCGATTGGTTCCTTCACAGGTTTTTTTTAGAATAATCCTCTTTGAAAATTACCGGAAAATTTAATTCTAGGCATATATAGTGTATTGCCGCAAGTGTGCGATGCGGTTGATCTCCATGATGTGCGAGGTTAAAAACATGAGTTTGAAAACATATTCTTAGTTGAGCTGTATTGTAGCTATGATAAAAAATAAAAGAGGATAAAGCATTTGCCGTTGATCAATCCCTTTTGGGATGCGGCACGCATTCTACTTCCATTTGTACATTCGCAGTGGCGTTTTTGAATGCGATGTGGCCTATACAATGACTTGCGGGGGCCAGCCGATGTACAAGTCAGTGTTTTTATCCTCCCAGACAAGTCTGGTACCAATTAACCGACCCCGGAGGGATGGAAGGCTTGGTTGGCCCGGGCGACTCACGACCCAGGATTTGATCCCCGGACCGCTCGCGTGGTAAGCGTGCCACTTGCCACTACACCACTTCTGCCGTATTGGATAGACTAATTTAATCATAAGGCGCATGTCTAAGATCACTTCGACTGGAGACTATTGGTCACATGTAGTTTCACACAATGTCAACAAAATGAGTACTCAAAATGAGTACTTCGGAACGGAACTTAATTTGGCTCACTGAGAAATAGAGCCACCCGACACTAAGCGCTATATTTTCCATCCTTCAGGAGAAAGATATGTCTGCAATTATTCGGAGCTTACAGATCGAATTCTTCCGAACCAGCCACATAAAATCTAGGAGTTCCATTTCCATTCCTTTCCCTTCTAGTGATCAAAGAAGGAAAACTATAAATTCTTAATTTGGTCTAATATAATTTTTATTTCGATATTATACAAAGCACGCGATATTGTTTCGTGTCCTTACCATTAATTTCGGATATATGATCGTGAATTGAAACAAAAAAGTTTAGGAGTATCAATGGCGATGAACGGAAGGCAGCGGAAGAGAGAATATCTCATTTGTTTTCAGGAGATCATCTACCGCGGATTGTACCTTGCGACATTCCCTCAAAACTCATCTGCAATGACTCAGTACAGTGGAGTTCACAACGTCACGCACGCGATGTGTCAAGCTGATAAGGAACTTGCTAAACCTCAGCCACGTTGTGCTGGAAAGGTTTGTGAAATAAATCATACATCGATGAATTTAAGGTGTTTGCCTTTATGCAGCCTTACTATGTGGTCGATGCCAATCCAGTGGACTCATTCCTGTTCTGGCTCCCTCTAATAAAGGCCTTCTCGAGGCCTGCGCCTTCGATCAGGATTCCTTTTTGTTTGATTTATCTCGTTGCCCTCTTATGCGAGTGGTTGGCCGTCTGGCTTCACATCCCACCAGTAATGAACAGGTACTTACTTTGATATAATGAATACTTTTTATCTATAGGGATGGGGATTGAGAAGGAGGTGTTATCTTGAGGCCAAGCATTTGGGCGGAGTCACTAGGCAGGCTGCGCCTTTCTAGCCCCCGGACGAGATGGTGAGGGGTACGGCCCACTGGTGGGAAATGTAGCTTAAAGGCATGCCCCAGGATCACACTGGTGTGGCTCTGACACAGGAATGGGTACGAAATGGGCCGACAGTAAAGAAAAAAGGAAAAGAATCCTAATCGGCTGTGCTAAGGGAATGAGAGACTAAGCGCGGAGAGGAGAGTATGGGCGAGAGAGCGCCACAGATGAGAGATCGCCAGACAACAGCTGATAAGAAAAAACTGCAGCTTCAGCAGCTTACTTTGCAAGGCCCAAGCGCCACATTTGTGATTGTCCTTTAAGGTTCCGTACTACAGACCGAAGGGAAGCGTTTACATGATCTCTATCCTGGGTTGTGCTTTTAACTCCGCCTATATGACCACCGCCTACATATGTGAAAGCCAATAATAGCAATAAGTGTTCAGAAAAACTTAACAAAGCATATATGATACGACTGTATCCAAATGAAGCGAGGCAGATTTGCAATTTCAGATTGGAGGTGAATTTACTAGGGATAACGAACACATATTCAATTGAAGGTGCGATTAAGGATTTCGACTACAAGCCCACAAAAAATCACGATTTGACCGAGGTATTTTTCTTTCAATGGTTTTGTATAGCGCACAAGAAAATATGGGGTGGAACTATAATTTTGCGGAGTAGGACAGAGCGACTTTTTCGAAAAATTGCAGAGCAAATTAGAACTAGTGTGCAAAGTTGCATTGTAATGCATGTCACATTTTTCATGGGACTCCACGTTTTCATCTTTCATTTTCTTTTTCGATCATTTCATTTCTTATGAAGCCTTCGTTTAACACGTTGACGACATCGTCTTGAGCTTTTCCACCGCGTAGTACCAGAGCGATTTTGCGGAGCGCCGCTGCCGTACACCAAATCCATGGATTTTAGAGCTGTAAATACGCAATACTTAGATGCGATGAAGTGTTTTCAATGACGATTCGATCTGCCTATCTTACCGAAAGTTGCAGTAATGGAAGTTCGAACCGTAATGACGTGTTAAGATCAAGGAAAGGCAAATTTCAGCCATTTTCCTCAGTTGATTCCAGAATAATAATTTTGGAATGGCGTTTCGGAAAACCAATTAATGTATCTCTCTTCATACGTATAGGTTTGTGTCGCTTCCCTTTTGGTTCCCTTTGTAGCAACTGATGTTACGTTGTTGAAAGAAAATGACGAATGAACTGAACACGCATTTTTGTAAGGTCTGGAAACCTCTGCCAAACCAAAGATCATTTGGCCATTCCGTAAGCCCCGTGGATCTTGGTTACATTGATGTATGGCATATAAAATAAACACGAAAAATTTGGGAAGAAATCGGGCATGTGTGCTGAAAATAAATGTAATTGGTGTGGCATACACACACGTTGTCACAGCGTCCGATGAGGAACAAAAATAGCGGCATACCCAGTCGCGAACCCGTGTGTGATTCAAGATTTGCAGGCAACGTGGGGGTTATCATGGCAAAATTGCCAGTGGCTCAATAGGAACGTTCCACGCTGCCGCTGGCAAGGTTGCTGGATCTACACCGCTTGGAGTCTAAGATTTGCAAACAACATCCGTTGCTTACCTGTTGTCAAGACCTCTTCCGATGCTGTGATCAAGTGATCCATGGTGCACTGGCAAAAACCAGGACTTTGAGTCCTGTCATCCAGGGTTTGAGAGTGGCACAAGTTTTGCAGATAGTGTGGCAAGGCTGGCGGTCGAATTCAAGAGGTCATGTCCATAATCCCACGTTCCTTGTTCCTCGTGTGGACTTCTACAAGAGAGGCATCCGACGTTTGGTTCGTGTTCGTTAAGGGCTCTGAGGCAAAAGGGGAGGAACTCCTTTCATTTAATCACATGCTTAAAGGCAAAGGTCGGGATTAGTTGACCAAACCAACCCTTTCGGTCATCTCTGTACTTGGTTACGCACCAGTACAGATGTTCCCACGCTCAAAATCTCGAACGGCGCGGTAATAAGGCCCCAGGGCATGTACTATGCGCTATCGCCGCCTGGCCCCGCTACGACCGCCCACCTTGGATGTGGTGCGTGGCTGGCATAACGTGTGAAATCAGCTAGGTTGATTGCCGTATCAACCGATAGAACGACTGACATCTCCAGAAAACTTGTTTGTACGTGCCTCTTCCCCAAGCCAGCCTCCTTCACTGCTAGTGGGAAAGAGGGTTTTGTTAACGGCCTTGTCGACGGTTTTTCTCAGTTTTTCTCCACTGTCGTTCCACTTCGCATCTCTATACTCAGTTTCAATCGCCATAATACCCCCTTATTGAGCCCGACTTTTGCCTTTAAGACTGATTGCACAAGATCTGTGGTCGGTCGAAATTTCGCTTACCTCTACTTGGGTTTTCTATTGGCGAACTCACGAAGTTTATTTGGTGCATGTGTACTTAGAAAGAAAAAGCCTTTGGGCTGCCGCTCTTTGATGACGAACTGACTGTAGTTGACAGAAGCTGGAGAAATCAAGGTTCCAAATGACTGGTTGATTAATCCAGTATTGTCGGTGAGCATCTTGCTCAGTTTGCAGTACGCAACTCTACTCACACTTGTATTTTCAGGTAGTGGAATACTATCAGAAGTTCTATGGGGATCGCCCGCTTGCTTCACACTGCATCGATGCACGTCGAACAGTTGTAATTATTGGCATCACCGTTATTGTATTGTTTATATCCGCGCAATACGTTTTTTCCTGAAAATATTCCCAGTGCTTATGTTGAAAATGAACTCAGTAGCTTGCCGAAAGACTACATAAAACGGATTTCTGATGCGGGGTCGTTCTTAGTAATGAAACATATTCCAAGTTTTTACTTCCCGTGAACATAGTGTGATAAATGTTTTCCAGAGAATATTGAAGAGTCGTGTAAATAAAATATGAAATAATAAAAAGTTCATGAGTTTCAAATTCAATTCAAATTTGTTGGCTTCAGTAAGGTTTCTGTGAAAGTAATTATAACCCCGAAAGTACCAGATTCCAAAATACCTGAGTTTGCCTAAGACGAAACTAAAATAAAGGATAAGGATAAAGCATTTGCCGTTGATCAATCCCTTTTTGGGATGCGGCACGCATTCTACTTCCATTTGTACATTCGTAGTGGCGTTTGAATGCGATGTGGCCTATACAATGACTTGCGGGGGCCAGCCGATGTACAAGTCAGTGTTTTTATCCTCCCAGACAAGTCTGGTACCAATTAACCGACCCCGGAGGGATGGAAGGCTTGGTTGGCCCGGGCGACTCACGACCCAGGATTTGATCCCCGGACCGCTCGCGTGGTAAGCGTGCCACTTGCCACTACACCACTTCCGCCCCAACTTTCAAACAGCTGGAACGATTACCGAATACGATGACCGATGAGGATGACAGGAGAAAGGTAGGAGGAAGCGAATTAGGTCATAAAAAATCTTGCGGTGATTTCGTATAATATTATTCGAGGCACTATGTAAGGGCGACCCCTTATCATGATTTATCATGAACGTATTCGTGTGCCCTTGTCGCTATTTTGGAAGTGGCATAATATTCAATACTGCAGCACTTAGTGCTCATACTGTTATTCTACAAAACAAGAAAGAACCGCAGTCCGCTACATTAGTTGGTATTTTGCTTAGAAGTTTTCCATCGATGCATCATGGGAGTTTATTCTAGTTTTCACTCCTAGAACATCTCGACAAAAGAACTGGCGCATCCACCTATCCTTATTTGCAGTCCTATGTGCGGTTTCTTTCAAAAGATAGCCGTGATGGAGGCGGAACCGGCTCTGAAGAAAATTAGGCAAAGCGACAGGTCTAGGTGACTGGGCGCTCGAACTGTGGAACACTGCTGGTAGCCTCTGGAATGATTGGCTGAGTTTTTCAATCAGAATCATTTCTGAGGAGAAAGTGCCTAAGAACTGGCAGGAGAGCACGAGATTCTGAATGGAAGAAGAAAGGCATTTCTGTGGACGGCACCAACTAGCGTACAAATCTGCCCTCTCACAAAGCACATAAATTGCTCCGAATTCGTGATACGTGCAACTTTCTCCACCTAGCAGGCGAATGTGACCGTGTTTGCACATCGTGCGATACACGAGCTCCTCCAATAAAGCATGGAGAGCACAGCCAAAAGTACGTCTTGCGTTCCGCCGACGAGTGACGGAAAGCGCTTCAGTCCAGTCAAGCGTGCGTGAGATTCTAACCATGTTCAAGCAGGGTTGGGGGTCGTATTGGCTCGCTGTAAGGAAGAGGGGAGGAAGAGATTGGGCAGTAGTATCATCACCATCGGAGGACAATCATCAAAGATCGAGTCGATGCCAGGCCAGAAGATTTCCAATAACAATGTTATCACGCACACATAATAATCCTCGTGATTCAGAAGTGTCCGCTTAGCAATTCTTAGTTACTTCAGTATTTTATCACCACACCCGCTAATGAATCCGAAATGCGCTCGTTTTTCAAGCGATATTTTAGCTTTCAAGTGGCTAATCGAATCCGAAGGGAAGTGAAGGACACGGAGCACCCCAGAGTGGGCCCAATTAGTTGCGCACGTTTCAATTACGGCGCCCGATGAAAGATCTCATTCATAATAAGAAGATTCTGAAAAGGGCCGTGTGGATTTACGAAGTTTCACGATCTATTAGGTTGGAAAGAAAGTCCTGCAACACTTTTTCAAATTTTTGATTTTAATTTTATCTTTTTTGGTTACAACTTCTGACCGGTCTTATATCTACCATGAGTGTCCACCACTTGTCTCCATCGCTCAGAAAATTTCTTGATCCTCCTCTGCCAAAACCCAGCGGAGTGCGAGTCGAGAAAGGAGGCGACCTCACTTTTGACACCTAGGCCACTGCTACACAATGGTGCCCAAGGAAGGCTGTAATGAAGTGTGATCGGGATGCTGCTGCTTCTTATAAAATATCAAAAGATCGGAAAAGTACGACTTTATGTCTAGGTTCTACTTCAATGAATGCTCCCTTTTCGATTAGTGGTGTCAAGCTTAGAGAATCGAATGTAGCTTGCGATCTAGGAATATTGTATTCTAGCTCACTTGGTTTCGAGGATTATATCAACAATGTCGTAAACTTAGCGAGCTCCAGAGCCAATTTCATTTTGCGTGCTTTCACCACCAGACGACTAGACACCTTATTCTTACTATTCACGACATACGTTCGGCCTTTACTGGAATATTGTTCAGTGATCTGGAGCCCATCAAACAAATTTCTAGTTGAGCGCATAGAGAAGGTCCAGGCTAAGTTTACTGAGAAAATTTTTGCACGCAATGGGTTATTCCAACTTTCTTATAAAGAAAGACTATCGTTGCTTAAGGCTAACACTTTAGAAATGAGAAGAAAAATGTTCGACTACGAATGTGTTTACAAGCTTGCACATAAACTACTAGACGTTGACTTCGACATAATTTTCAGTAGATCGGTGACTATTGGACGTACCCGCGGGCATAACTTCAGGATGCTAAGGGAAAAAACTAGATCGTCAGAATTCCGTAAATTCCTTCACACAGAGGGTCATTTCTATCTGGAACGACTTGCCGCCTTCGGTGGTTGACTCTAGTTCTGTAGTTTCGTTTAGAAGGGAACTTAAGAGAATCTTGATTGCCCAAGGGTGGTTCTGATATTCCACACAACCATTCTAAAATAAACGGTTCTACCTACAGACGATGAGAACAGAAACTGAGATTTATTCAATGAGGTCTAGAAGCGAACCACGTCATACATTGTTCTCTTACTCTTTCATTGGACACTGGCAATACTCAGAGATTATATTTAGTACTATCTCTGTGCAAGGTGTTTTCCTATTTCTGATGTTCCTTGGTAATTTTATCTTATGACATTGCTTCTGGCTTTTTCCTAGTTGTTTTGAGTTCCTTTTTTCACCTATTTCCTTTAGTCATCCCCTCCCCCTCCTACGTCGACTGTGGGCCTTGATGGTGTTGACGGACCTACTACGATGTATCGTA